AAAACAAAATTGCAATTAAATTAAACAGAATTTTTTTTTTGGGGGGGGGGGAAACAACAACAATTTAAAGCAGTATTACACTTATTGTTTTTATGCTTAAACCCTTTTTTCGTCTTTGACCCATATACAATTTGGCAAGGAATAGTAATAAGATAATTATAAACAAAACATGAAAAGCGTCTACTTTGAGCTCTCTCTGTCTGTCTAGGCTGGTTCATGCAGCATTACGCAACACTTATGACTGTCCAACACGCACAAACTCCGAAACTCCGCCTCAAATGCATCTGTAAGTCAATATTCGAGCTATTTTACATCATCCTACACAGTAACTATAGTAACCTACATCACCCCCTCACAGCTCCGCCCGTGTGTTTGCTGGGCCGGACTGTTGATACACTGACTGGATACAACAGTACTCGGTTGGACGGTTTACCTGCAGGATGACGGAGCGGATGAGAGCGTTGACGGGCCCGGTGAAGGATTCAGCCACTCCGGCCCCCTGAAAACACCACAACACGATCCCCCCTTTACTGAAGATGGCGAAGAAGTCCAGCATCTTTGCCAACCACCAATGAACCCAATACTACAAGGAACAGAACAAACACCGTTCAACAAAAAACGAAAACGTGTAACAAAAAAATTATAAAAATAAATAAGTGCTCCAAAGTTGGCCTGCGCTTGACTTAACGTGCGCAGCGCTGTCTGCCGTCAGAATGAAGACTCAACTCACAATCAGACACGTCAGTGGCACAATGAGGAAGTGACGCAACTTCAGCTCTATTACATAGATCATGTGGATCCATTAACATTAAGTTAAGAAAATTCCGATTTTTGCGATTTTTGTAACGAATGCTTTAATTACGTTTTTAATCAATATTTGATTTATGAATGCAGATTTATGTTTCTTAAAGATAATAAAAACCACCAGCTGCATATGTCTAAAAAGTAACTTTGACTAATATACTGATTCTCCAATTTTTATACTATTATATGTATATGTATTTTCACGTTTTTACGACATATAGTTTATTAGTTTATTCTGTTATTAGTGTATATATATTCATGGAACATCTGTTTGTCTGCAGTCTTCAAGTGCATTTCAACTATTTAATAGCATGGAGCCCATGTTATTAACCTGGAGAGGACATATGAAGACATGTCATTTTGAGGACAGGAGTTTTACTGTAGTTTACACAGTTTTTTATGAGGCAGTTTTAATAAAGTGGTGTGTTTGTTTTTAGGCCTGCTTTGACTGTGCTGCTAAGAACCCGAGTTGGGCCAGTATTCCATATGGAGTGTTTCTGTGCATTGACTGTTCTGGGATACATCGCTCCTTGGGAGTGCACTTGAGCTTTATCAGGTCAGTCTGGACTTCTATTGTTTTTCTCTACTTGTTAAATTATGCCGTCATGTGAATGTCTGTCAAAGTTACAGAATGTCACATTCATTCGTTCGCAAGAGTTCGAGGGTGAGTTAAAGCGTAGAATATTGTCTTTTCAGATCCACAGAGCTGGATTCCAACTGGAGCTGGTTTCAGCTGAGATGTATGCAGGTTGGAGGAAATGCCAACGCGGTTAGTCCCTTTATCCCTGACTCATGTTTTATTAGATTGTGCTGGTTTTAACCCTGTGAGAACTTTTTTTTTTTTTAAACGACACTGTGCACGTTACATCACTTCATCACTCCCATGTTTTCTTTGTGCACAGATGGGGTTTTTCTGCCAGCATGGCTGTACCACCAATGACACCAATGCGAAGTATAACAGTCGTGCGGCTCAGATGTACAGAGAGAAGATTCGACAGCTTGCCAACGCTGCGCTCTCCAAGTATGGCACTGATGTGAGTATACCAATCTCATACTGTTCCAGCATTATTTTTAAACGGAGTTAAGCCAAATACAGTTTGAGTTTTAGCAAAAAATTAATTGTAAAAACCTGATTTAATTTGGCCATACATTTTTCTCGCCATGAAAATAGTCACAGAAGGTGGCATGGTGTTAAATACAAACAAACCAACGTGCTTAGTTCTTCTTTTTTCCTACCATATAGTATGCATGCAGTTGCATCAGTTCTGCCTTTAAAACTTAGCCTATACTGTGTAGACACTAGGGCTGCACGATAAATATCGCACGATATTTAATGCGCATCTCGTCAGTAAAGTATGGCACTGATGTGAGTATACGAATCTCATACTGTTCCAGCATTATTTCTGCCAAGAAAATGAACTATACCCTGTGGATTTGTTGTCAGCATTGGTTATTTAAAGATATTTTTGTGTCATGCTATTAATGCGCTTTAAAACTGGCTTTCTTCAAGATTTTACTTTGGACATCATGTGTGGGTTTTATTACAACAGGCCTGTGTTTATAAGTAACCCGAATGTTTACTTTCCAAACCCCAATAATTCAGAGAACTACACATTTGTTTAGTTCTGTAAAGTAATGCAAAGAGATATTCGGATGTCATCTTTTTATATGCAGCTGTGGTGTTTGTGATATTGAATAAACTTTGAACTTGAGTCACTTAACAAACTCCACGTTACATAGCTTTATCTCCCCCGACTCACTAGTTATGAAAGCACAACAGACAACAACAGCACAAATACGCACTGTATTTGGAGAGCTGCTTTCAGGACATTTATTTAGATGTTTTTTTCCTTTTCACCATTTAGCTGTGGATTGACAACTCAAGCTGTGCTCAGCCGTCACCTACAGAGAAGAGAGAGACTGACTTCTTTGACGAGCACACACAGGTAGGACCCACAGAGTTGTGCATTTTGAATTGTAAATTGTAAATGGGTTTTGATGTCTAAAGGAGCACTTATTTATTTAGTTAATTTTTAAAAAGAGTTTGACTGATCATTCAGGGCGGACCAGTTTACCTGGTAACAGGATTCTCACAGTCAGAGAAACCTAGAAATATCAGAGAATTATGTATTGAACCCTTTTCACAGACTTTGGTGAGGTTCCACAGTTATTACCATTGTAAATCTATCAGTTTCTTTTTAGAGAAATTCCTAAACAATTATTACACAATACTGTGTGTTATATTACCTCGCATTAAATTAAAGAATACTATTTAACACTTAATCAGTTAGTAATCAAGTTATGTTTTTATGTTCTGTTACATTTTGTTAAGTCCATATTCTGTTATTGTGAATGACTGAAAATGATGTTGATGTTCAGTTTCGGGTGAACTATCTCTTCAAGTTTGTGCTCGTGCAGATATGCCATTATTATTATGGCTTGATGTGTTAAATTTGATAATTGTTCTCTTACCTGCAGCCTGCCAACAGTTGGAACATAGCTTCCCCATCCCTAACGGATGAGAATGGAGCCGTAACCCCTCAACTGGAGCAGAGCAATCTTAAGAGTTCAGAAACCAGCACTCGTGAGTGGACCACATTACACATCATAACACATGCGTTTCATTGTCAGTACTTTTATATTTAATCATTTCTTGTCCATGTGAACCAGAACCTGAAGAGGGTCCGAGCATTGAAGGACTGAGCACAAGTCCTAAAGCCACAATAGGTGAGTGTTTCCTGGATTGTGTGTTTGAGCGCTCCGGAGGAATGTACATTACCAACACAACACCCAATGTTTCAGTTTCTCTCTTCACCACCCAATTCCCCATATTATTTTGGAAGTATTTTCTCACCAAACATTGGTGAATCACTAAGTAAGTCAAGCTCCAGGACCTGTTTGGAAAACTAATGAAGTATCCCATGCTATGGAATGAAGTAAAAAAGTGCTATGGTACTTGTAAAATTGCATGGTTTAAAAAACATTTGATAAATAATATGACAAAAACACATAACTATGTACTTAAGGCTCTTAAAATCATGTGTATGTGTAATAGCAAGCCAACAAATGTAGTTCTGCAACATTCTTTGCAAATTAATTGAAAGCCTACTGTCTGTTCTGTTAATGTAGATGACTCAATGAGATTGACGTCTGAAGAGTCTCCTGAAGGTGATTTGAATGATTTTGAAATGGCAGGATGCCTATTGGCTGATCAGAACGAAGCAGCATGGGGGCATTCTGCGCTTGACTGATACTTAATTTGAGTGTGTGTGTGTCTCTTTGGCTCCACCCCTTCCTCTTTATCATTATATTACTGCAAAACTGATCATATTTTAAAAGCTTGGTGTTACCATAAAAATAGTCTTTACTGCTTTTAAATAATAATGCATTTTCTTACCAATTCAGATCTATTCAGGGTGTCAGTGTATATATTGCACTGACACAATTGTTGACTGGGATTTAATTTAAAATTGAGAAATTCAATGCTGATCAACATTATGAAATATATGCTGTTAATAGAGCTTAAAGCCCAAAGTATAATTCAGTTTTGACACGAACACACACGTACAGCTGAAATTATAGCCTTTATAAAGATTCTCCATTTGATAGTGTGACATGTGCGCACTAGATAGTGTCCGCAATATTTTATATATATATTTTATTAATAAAAATGCCTTTGTACTCGCTTAAACTAGTTGTGGGTATCTCTTAATTCCCCCCATATTTTTTATATATATTTTCATTTAACAAAATATGTACTTTAAAAATGTAAATTTTTTTTTTTTTTTTTAATGCTGCTGTGTGAGTGTTTCTAACACTTGGCTGAGGGAGTAACAGCAGATTTGACATCTTTCTCTGTTCTGACCAATGTAATCAATCTCTCAATTCTTTTTCTTTTGGAATGTCACTGAAACGCTATCATGGATTTTTTTTTCTTCTTTTGTTATTAGGGAACACAGAAAACCAAACATTATATAAATTCACTCCGCTGTGTCAACTTCTGCTTCTGAGAACCACAGAAATGTGAAAAGGGTCAATTGTTGTTGCACATGTATGGGCTGGGCGTACAAAGTATGCACAATTTTGCTGTGCGCATAAAGTACACATAATATGCTGATGATAAACTTTGTGCACTTACTCATACCTTAGTTTACACATAAAAACTTAAGTATATTTTGGGCTTCACTTCTATTGAACCTGGAACATTACTTGAAATTTATCATTTTAATGACTATCAACTACGAGCATTTCTGCTATTATTGACGTCCCTATTATATGTATTTATAGCAGAACTAACCTATATGCTGTGTAATTATTCTTACTTGCTGAGTATTTGCCAGTTCTGACTCCTAAAGTGGGGCAAGTTGTCACTGAACCACTTTTTGTGACCTGAGTTTGTTTCTTCATTTGAACAGATACAGAGAAATGTAGAACTCACCAGTGGATCCTCTGCAGTGGATGGGTGCCGTCAGAATGAGAGTCCAAACAGCTGATAAAAACATCACAATAATCCACACCACTCCAGTCCACCAATTAAAGCTGCACGTTTATAAGAAACAAATCCATCAAGCTATCTTTTTTTCCCCCTAAAATGAGTCCTTTTCTGAATCAGGAGAGAAATATGCATAGAGCGGAAACAGTTCAAAACAATCGTGTGGATTATTGTGATGTTTTTATCAACTGTTTGATAAATTTTTATTTTTGGTTGAACTATTCCCTCTTATTCTACTCAAAAGTGGCATATCTTGTCCCACTTTCCCATAGTTGGTGTGTAAAGTTACTTGCTGACAAAAAAAAGTGTAATGTAGGGTTTTCTAATCTCATAAAGAGCTCTCATGCACTTTCCAGACTGGACCCAGAGCTCTGCTGTGTTTTTCTGGTCTGGATTGAGATTAGAGCGGCTTTTCATTGTTGATCAGGATGCAGTGGATGTAAATCTTAAAACCAGTTTCAGCATTCGTCTTAGCACAAAGCTTCCAGACGCCCCAATTTTCGGCTACTTTATGGACTCATTGGATCAATATGCAATAGTAATGCTGCAGGAATGTTCCCAGTGTTCATGTGTACACTTTAAACACACTCTTGCTCTGATAATCGAATTGATTATGTGAGGTGTGACCTCTTTCTTTTCCTCAGGCTTTGCCGGCATGATATTTCTCAGGGCACTGTTGGCTCTATCGCCATGCATTAATGATCCTTGTCTGGAGAAGTTGTGTTCTCTGGAATAATCTAGGAGAACATGGTTTCCTGTTTCCCTTTCTCTGACTATGCTGTCTGTTTTCAGAAGTGAAACCCTCCATTATTGGAAAGAAGAAGCCAGCCACTGCAAAGAAAGGGGTAGGTGAACAATCAGTGCCCTCAGTCACTTCCTGTTGAGGGAATTGTGCTTCCTGATCTTGCAGTGTTCAGTTTTAGTCGGTAGGTGTCAGTCTTGCGGCACTATACAGAAACTGGCTCTGCCTAAAACTAAAGAAAACCAATAATCATTCGGAATTTTATTTTATTTTTATTTTTTATAGAAGTTACTCAATTCTCTTTATTATAGCAGGAGATATAAAAACAGATGACAGTTGACACTTAACTGCAGCATTTATTTAAGAGTTTTAATGAATTTCACAAAATCTGTGAACAACATGTCTGGGTCATATTTCATCTCAAAATCTAATTATATTTTACTCAGAATTATAGTTTCATAACAAGTAAGCATAATCGACTTTTAATGACTTTTAATATTATGGCACTGAAATAATTCAGTTAAATGTAATAAAAATGTTACTGTATTTATATGTACTGTAATTGCATAATTGCAACTGTAAAAGCATAATTCTCTAGTTCTCATTCATGAGAATGACATTTTTATTTTAATATTATGGTACTGACATAATTCAGTTAAATGTATTGTAATAAAAATTGCACTGTGTTTATATGTACTGTATTTATATTATTTAAAATTAAATATTAGTACTTTTTGAACTGCTTTTATATAGATAAATGTAAATTTATAAATTATTCTGTTAATTCTATTGCTAATTCTATCTGTCACATACATAAATATACAGTGGGTACGGAAAGTATTCAGACCCCCTTAAATTTTTCACTCTTTGTTATATTGCAGCCATTTGCTAAAATCATTTAAGTTAATTTTTTTTCCACGGATCAATAGAATAAATATAAATGCAATTAAATGTACTTTTATATAAGTGCTGTCAATTGATTAAAAAAAATTAACAAATTAATCGCTCAATTTAAAAAAAAAAAATTAATTGCGATTAATCCAACCTAACATAGTCTTTAAATATACTTTTATATTGCAGTTTCACATTCAATCTTCAAATTAATGTAATGTAATGTATTTTTTTATATTTATTTAATGGCATCTTTTTTATGACTGAAGGCAAGTATTACTGATACCAATACTACTGATGTCTCTATGAATTTTTTCCCCTAATATTTAACCATTTACTATAGCTATTCAACATTACAGTATAATTGAGAGCTATCAATTTTAACATTTATTAGACTTTAAAAAATAACCTCTAATTTAATTGAACTTAAAACAATCTTCACATAAACCCATTATAATAAATATCATATTTAGCTACCTGTGCCTTTCAGCATGTAGGAAATATATACAGAAATTGAATTAAGTTATCAAACTCTAAATTCTAAATTAAATATAGATGAACCCTTAAAGCTACAAAAGTCATTGATTTCCTCTTTTTTTTCTTCTTTTGTTCTTTGATGAACAGACATCACAGCAGCTGGTTATTAAGGTTATATTGGCTGCCGCTGCTGAACATGACGCGGATCGTATTTTCTCGCAACTCTTGACCTTTTCTGACCCTCTTCAGGTCTTAAAGTCTCTACTAATGAGCTGACCTACTGAAGCTCCCTCATCACCTGTACCTTTTCTGCGCTCGTTTGACTAGCGCCGGGCACTGAGGCGAAGTTGGAGTGCACGTCTGAAAAGTCTCCCGTTTTATGTGGTCATAAAGACGTTCTGCGTCTAAATAAACGCAATTCTTGTCAAGAAAAAAGAGGACCGAAGCAGCAGTTGTGAGTGGGGTGGCCAACCCTAGAAAAAATTAATCACCTGTGTTAACACGTTAATTCTGACAACAGCAATTTATTTATTTATATATATATATATATATATATATATATATTAGTATTTTCATGAGTTTCATTAGGTACTTTTATGTATAAATGTACATTAATTATAAACCATCTGTAGAAGCATATATTGTTGTCAAAACTCATGGTTATGTTTGCAGGTGCTACTTTGTTCAAAATGTTATAAATAAATGTTATCATTTTGATTTTAGCTTGGCGCTAAAAAGGGTCTTGGTGCCCAGAAGGTGAGCAGCAAGAGCTTCACTGAGGTGGAAAAACAAGCCCAGGTGGCAGAGAAAATGAGAGCGGAACAGGCCACTGAGACCAAGAAACAAGCCGAAGACTCCATGTGAGTCTCCAGATGCCAAAAAATTCCATTTGCAGATGCTGTAAAAGATCTTTTTTTTTTTTTTAAGATTTTGATTCGAGTCTATTGAATGGTCAAGTGTATGTTTGAGAGGATGGCTCCTCTAACAGTGCAATCAGAGCTATAGCTTCAGCAGTTTTTTTTCCTGATTGCATTCCCTCTTTTTTCACAGAGTGGCCTCGATGCGACTGGCCTACAAAGAGCTGGAGATTGACAGGAAGATGGAGGAGAAGAAACTGAAGAACCTAGAGGGCAAGAAGAAGGAACAGGCGGAGAGGCTGGGCATGGGATTCTGCAACAGGAGGTAAAGACATGGCGGTAACCTCGATTAAACCACTGTCACGTTAATTACATCACTCCCCTCAAGCATGACATCAATGTCTGCAGCAGATTAATAACCCAGAATGCTGAGCGATGTGTGTCTGGTTGTTGGTTTTGTTCATTTTATTGTACATTCGGCTGATATGGTGTGACTTTGATTTTCCGCAGTGCCGTGTCTCATTCCGTGATGGCTGAGATGCAGGTGATCGAGCAGGAGACCCCGGTCGGAGTCAAGTCCTCTTCTCGCTCTAAGCTGGACATGTTTGATGAGCCCGGGTTCACCTCTGGACCACCAAAGTATGTTTGTGACGGACAGCATTTGTGAATGTGAGCGTATGCATGTGTGTAATTTGTATGAATCATTGTGATCTCAGGTACAAGGACAACCCTTTCACATCAGGAGACAGCTTTGGTTCACGGTGGGACAATGATGGAGGGTCCTCGTTCTCTTCCTGGGCTCTGGAAAAAGAGGAGCCTAAAGACAGTGAGGTCACCATCTCAAGCATCCAGCCAATCGGAGAAAGGTTTGTTGAATAACGTCCTGATCCAGTAGACGGCGATTTGATTTGTGGCTGGTTTTATGACCGTTGACACGATGTGTCTCAGGTTGGCCAGCCGACGGAAGCCTGAGGTGTCTGTGCCCGTCACAGAGTCCAGCGAAGCACGACAGAAGTTTGCCAATGCTAAAGCAATCTCATCGGACATGTTCTTCGGCCGTGAGAGCAACCCAGAGGTACAGTGAGCCCACTAGAGCTTGAGTTCTGAGACTCTGACTGGCGGTTTTGACACAAATTTTTCACATCCTTTTTTCCCCCATTTTATTTCTACATATAAATAATTTTTTTTTACACATTTTATCTGTAATTAAATATTATGAAGGATTTTAATGTTCATATTATATATATAAATTTATATAAAATGTATATTATAATATAAATGTATGTATATTTTGTTATTTAATTATAATAGTAATACATATACACAATTTCTATTTATAACATTTTAATATATAGATGAATTTTAATATATATTTGTATTATATAAAATTATGTAATTTTACCTTTTTATACACGCGCGCGCGCACACACACAATGTTTTATATATGGTTTATATATTATAAAATATTTTATAGTACATTACTGAAAATATTTTCATTGTTTTACAATTATTTGTAATATACAGAATAAATATATATATTTTTTATTATAAATTGTCATATATTTTTTTATGATTTTTAGTATTTTTGTGAAAACTTTTTTTTTTCAGGATTCTTAGATGAATAGAAGGTTCAAAAGTACAGCATTCATTTCAGAATTTATGAATGTCTTTATCACTTTTGATCAGTTTAATTTGTCCTTGATGAATAAAATTGATTAAATCTTGCCCCAAACATTTGAATGGTAGTGTAACATGGTTTCTACAAAAATGTCCACAAATTTGTAATAATTTAAATGTATACATTAATGTCATGTATTTTTAACACACACACACATACATATATATATAAATAAATAATAATAATAATACTTTTTTTTTTAAATATCCATTTACAGTATTGTTTTATGGATATATATATGATTTTTTTCTCCCTAGTATGAAGCAAAGACTCGTCTAGAAAGCATGACTGGAAGCACCTCCATCAGCTCTGCTGATCTGTTTGGTGATGGCAGTGTCTGTTCCACTGGTAAACACTTCTGTCTTTAGCAATATTGTTTACTTCACGCTAATTAGATTATAAAATGGGCAAAAGTCTTAAATTTTTTGCCGTATTATATAACAAGACTGTGGCGCCCATTCTGTTTCATTCATGTACATCGCTGTAGGCTCATCAGGATTTGACAGCGTGCTTCCCTCCGGTCCTGACATCGCCCAGTTCAAGCAAGGTGTGAAGACTGTTGCAGGGAAGATGGCAGTGCTGGCTAACGGTGTTATGAATACCATTCAGGTGAACGCACATATTTCAGTCTTCTCACACACACACACACACACACACACACACACACACACATACATATAACACTTCCACATCAGCTGTATTAACTCCATCTGATCGTGTGTGTTCAGGATCGCTATGGATCTTACTGAAAGGACTGCATTAAACTGAAACTGAAGTTGCATTAAACAGGACGCACCTCATTGCTGATTGGCTCTGGTCTGTCTTTCCTACATGAACACACATCTGAGAGAGAGGGAGCGAGAGAGAGAGAGACAAAGACCCGGGAGCTCCCAATCTCTCCCCAGACCACTGTAGACACTCTTGCTGACAGTATTTTCATTTCTATTTGAAGACTCTTGATTTATTTTCAGATAACATGAGAAGCACTGGGAAGAGTGTAAAGTTAGTTTTCAGAATCGCAGTGCTCTCTGTTTGAACTAACAGTCCTGTTTTCTATGCCATGTACTGGTCTTTGATTTCAAATAAGTATGGATTTGAAAAGTATTTTGTCTGGAATTAAACGCATAACAACTTAGAGCGCTAATATGTTCTTATGGCTTTCTTTTTTTACATTTTAACGGTATCCGAAGACCTCAGTGCATTCAGTAAACAAGGAAAGGGAACCCCATATGGTATATTTATACATTTGGAATATTTTGAGCCCATTTCCTAAATGCAGTCTATTAGATTTGATGCATTTTACTTTATTAGTTATTATGAAGACAAAGTTTAAGTGATGAAAATAACAGTAATTTTGTGCAATATGTCCTGGCATGTCAAAGACCAGTTCTTGAGGCTTTTTGTGGATACGGATGTGTGAGTGATTCCTGGGGGTTTGAGTTGTCAGGACCGATGATTTTAAACTGAACCATGTTTGTTTTTGCATGCCAGCATAAGCTGAAGACACTGGTGCTGTATCTGATTTCCAGCATTCACTCGTTTTCACAGAGAAAATGCTCAAGAAAGCAAGCGGACTGAGGAGGTTCACAGCGATGTGATTTAAGCGAAGACAATTTAATAAGACGCCCTCAGTTTAGATGATAGAATGACAGCTGACAAAATAGTTTATTTAAAATTCACCCACTGTCGTCTGTTTTCTGGTGATGTGCATGTGCAGTTCTGTTTTCTAGTTACATGCATTACAGCTTTTCTTTCCTTTTTCTTTTGGGTTAATGCCAGACCGGGAGCTGGTGAATGGTATTTGTCTGCCTGTCCGTTTGTATCCCAGTGCTACATTTGAAAATAAAGAACAACAATCCAACTACCGTCTGGAATAAAAGCTATTTATTGTAGCCTGTTGAGAAGAATCTATTGAGATTTGTGAGAATAAAGATTGAAATCCCCCACAACAGCTGTTTAAGACTTTGATTCAATAAACCCAACAATCATTTTATGACAAGGATTACAGATAAAGTGCAAAATAAACAAGAGTGGTAATGGAATAATTAATGCACACTATATTAGTGTTTACCCTTTAACCCTAATAAAAATGAAATCAGTAGAGGACTGGCCTGGCTGACGTTAACCCTGTAAAGCCTACTGTCATAATTGCCTCTAAATTGATCAAAACTTTAATGAAAAGCCTGTTGTACACAATCTACTACATGCTGTTGTCTGATGAATAGTTTAGACCTTTTTAGCAAGTAAAGGGCCTTTTAGTATAAATTGGTATATAAAAATGTCTACCTTCGGGTTGTGATTCACATCTTTTTACTGTGAAATTTGTACTGATTTTTTATAATGTAAGAAGAACTTCTATGTTGTTAGTAATACTTCAAGATGTACATTTATTGAACTGAAGCAACTTCCATGCACCATTTTTAGAAAAATGTTTAAATATATCGAACATAATCCATCAGGCGTTTTATTTTTTCGGAGTGTCTATTTAAACTAAGTGCAAATAGCCCGCCTTGTTGGCCGAGGCTATTTACACTAACTCCGCCCACCAACGTCTGATTGGTGGGCGCAGATGGTAAAATGTGTGTCGTACTCATTTTGACGCGATCGACTCGAGTTCGAATCTGCCTTTTGGCGAACTTTTTTCCTCCCTTTTCAAATTTCAAATCACATCAAAAAACCATTTATTTTCATAGAAAATGAAGGAAATAATCAAAAAGTTGAAAATAAAGTATCGGGTAGGGTTAGGGTAGGTGTAGGGAGGGCTTTATTGTCCCAATAAGGTGGCATCCAATTAATAATTTGAATTAAAATTAGAATTTACACACAAATTATTACTGCATACTGTTTTATAATGTACTATAATACTGAGGTGCAGATAATTGCAAGACAATTTAATAAGACGCCCTCAGTTTAGATGATAGAATGACAGCTGACAAAATAGTTTATTTAAAATTCACCCACTGTCGTCTGTTTTCTGGTGATGTGCATGTGCAGTTCTGTTTTCTAGTTACATGCATTACAGCTTTTCTTTCCTTTTTCTTTTGGGTTAATGCCAGACCGGGAGCTGGTGAATGGTATTTGTCTGCCTGTCCGTTTGTATCCCAGTGCTACATTTGAAAATAAAGAACAACAATCCAACTACCGTCTGGAATAAAAGCTATTTATTGTAGCCTGTTGAGAAGAATCTATTGAGATTTGTGAGAATAAAGATTGAAATCCCCCACAACAGCTGTTTAAGACTTTGATTCAATAAACCCAACAATCATTTTATGACAAGGATTACAGATAAAGTGCAAAATAAACAAGAGTGGTAATGGAATAATTAATGCACACTATATTAGTGTTTACCCTTTAACCCTAATAAAAATGAAATCAGTAGAGGACTGGCCTGGCTGACGTTAACCCTGTAAAGCCTACTGTCATAATTGCCTCTAAATTGATCAAAACTTTAATGAAAAGCCTGTTGTACACAATCTACTACATGCTGTTGTCTGATGAATAGTTTAGACCTTTTTAGCAAGTAAAGGGCCTTTTAGTATAAATTGGTATATAAAAATGTCTACCTTCGGGTTGTGATTCACATCTTTTTACTGTGAAATTTGTACTGATTTTTTATAATGTAAGAAGAACTTCTATGTTGTTAGTAATACTTCAAGATGTACATTTATTGAACTGAAGCAACTTCCATGCACCATTTTTAGAAAAATGTTTAAATATATCGAACATAATCCATCAGGCGTTTTATTTTTTCGGAGTGTCTATTTAAACTAAGTGCAAATAGCCCGCCTTGTTGGCCGAGGCTATTTACACTAACTCCGCCCACCAACGTCTGATTGGTGGGCGCAGATGGTAAAATGTGTGTCGTACTCATTTTGACGCGATCGACTCGAGTTCGAATCTGCCTTTTGGCGAACTTTTTTCCTCCCTTTTCAAATTTCAAATCACATCAAAAAACCATTTATTTTCATAGAAAATGAAGGAAATAATCAAAAAGTTGAAAATAAAGTATCGGGTAGGGTTAGGGTAGGTGTAGGGAGGGCTTTATTGTCCCAATAAGGTGGCATCCAATTAATAATTTGAATTAAAATTAGAATTTACACACAAATTATTACTGCATACTGTTTTATAATGTACTACAATACTGAGGTGCAGATAATTGCCACTATTTGCAATTAGTATAAATAGCAGAAAATCCTGCTATTTTAACAGTGTAAATAGAATCTATAGCTATTTTCACTTAGTGTAAATAACATCTATCGCTAAGAAAATATGCTATTTTCACTTAGTGTAAATAGAATCTAAAATAGCCGCTGCCTTATTTGTTCACCTCTCAATCAAATAAAACTATCAATAAATAAAAACTAGTGTTGATCATAAAACCAAGCATTTAAAGATAATTTTACTAAGACATTATTTTTGAGCGATATAGAGTTACAACTGATATTTATATGCATATTTATATGCATTTTAACTGATATTTAGTCTGCTATACTGTTATAAAGATCTCTTTGATTTACATCAGCTATCAGAATTTCGTCTTTTTGACCACATAAATATCAGTAGCTGCATCAGATTGCATATTTTTGCTCAGTTTGAGCCTCTGAATAAAACAGGTTTTTTTTCCTCAAGTATGAGCTAAATATTTTCATGTTTCATGTATTCATAAAAAAAACATTTGCAAACGTTTTTATTTTAAATGTTTGTCTAAAGATTCAATAAATTGTTCCAATTCCAAAAAAATCATTTTTTTTTTGCATTACTATTTAATATGTCAGGCTTTACAGGGTTAAAAAGGAGTGTGTGGGTCAGGGCTTTCATGTGCTCTTTATTCAACGGATGTCTTTCATCCTGTTGCACAGGGGCACAACGGCCTCTGACCTCTCCATTCATTCAGCCATGCCAGAGAAATGGGGCTGTGTTATAAAACACAACTGTTCCCGGTTCAGATTTTATTTGATAGCGCTCAAGGCGTTACGATGTTCCTGATTCCGAAGGCCTTGATTCTAAAGTCTGCTCAGGAGTGCTCAAAGACACTTTAATCACAGGTACAAAAACACACATAAATGTCACCTTCTGTTATTGCATCAATAGTGAGGATCTATAGCATCTACATACAAACGAGATCAATGTAAGCGTGTAAGTCCTCCTTCAGTCTTATTTGCACAGCAGTTAAATTAAAAGAGGGCGATCAGAGAGCCACATTATCCCTTTGTAGGCCCTCATTCTCATCCATGTCAAAGCTTTGGATTTACTTAGTCACACGATCAAAGAATAACAGGTTTAGGAACAGCAGTCTGGCTATATTCGGTAAATATATGAATGGGGCCGATTAGTGTAACAAACAAATAAGAAAAAAACGTGAATAATGGGGATTTATGGCTTAAAACAGCCTTCGAGTTTTCTAATTCAAATGCACATTCAGACTCGCTGAGTAAATTCAATTCCCTTCTCAGCTTGTAGAAGTTCAATTTAATGCAGAAGTTGCTCGTTCACAGCTCAGGTGAATGATCGACGAGTGATAGATAGAATGAAAGAATGAGACGGAGCAAAAGAACGACAGAACAAAAAAATGATGGATAGAACAACAGAATGAATGACAGATAGGGTGAAGGAATGATAGAACAAAATAAGAATAGAATGATAGAATAAAAGAATGATAGAGAGAACAGCAGAACGATAGTACGATAGATAGAATGATAGAACGACAGATTGAATGAGAGAACGATAGATAGATAGATAGATAGATGTTTTTGTCGCTGGAATTAAAGTCAAAGGGGCTCAAAACAATATTGGACTGCACTGACTTTCATTATATGGACAAAAAAAACAGGCATTTTGGTGAACAATCCCTTTATCCCCTTTTAGTTTGTCTCAGATGTTTGTCCCAAAATAAAGAAGACATTTTGATATGGAACTTTATAGACTTTCCTCATTAGAAAGAGCTGAGTCTCTGTTTGAGCTCGATTTAATCTCATTGCTGTCTAGGAGAAACTATTGAGACCAGGGCAGTCCTTAGTCCTTAGCTTGAGGGGGCCCCGCGGCGAACGGGGCCCCCCCCCCCCGAAACGCGACCGGTAACGGACCAAGGGG